GAAGCTGCCCAAAAGGACACTGTTGTTTCCAGCGCCCTCACGGCGTATAAGTGCCTTGATCGATTCGTGAAACACACGCTGTCCCTCAGAAATAGCTTCGAATTTCCCGTACAATGTCCACAGTAGATCGTATATAACATCCGCGCGGAGTCTGGTCTCGCGAGCCCCGTAAACATGGAGACCGTCCTGCTTGGAAGAACTTCCACGTAGGGAGCTTGGGTGGCGCTGGTCAACTTCATTTATAGTCTCGCTTACGATGCCAAACAGCTCGACTGGCATCCTGTGTTTCAAGGTCTCAACAGCATTCTGCAGCCTGCCGAGCTTGTTCAATGCTTCAACAATCAAAGTCACGTAGTAGAAAGTGTCTGCCTCCGGGTTCTTCATTGGGTCCTCGGTAGCGGATTTGTCGATCTCGAGGCTATCGAGGGCCACATGGAAGGGTACAATAGTTGTGCCATCTGAGTAGCCATCTTGGTGAGTTTTGGCCAAGTTTTGCCAGCGGTCCTGGCAGTATGGGGACTTGAGGTAGAGATGTTCATGCAATTCCTCAACAAGGGTATCCATCAGGGACGTTTCTTGGTTGGATAGGTAGTTTCTCAGGTCGCTCAGGGCGCCGATACCATCCAGCTCGGGCTTCCTGAGTTTCCGCAATGCATTATGCAGCACCTCGACGGCCGTGAGGAATCGCTTCTCTGAGATCCGTGCTTCCAGTTGATCGGGGACGGAGCGCAACTCATCCAGCTCGTTCAATGTCTGGATTAACTCGTCATAGGTTTGGGATGTCTTGGACAGCTTCAATAACTCGGGGTCGGTGGTAGAGAGTGTGACTTTGGAGGTGACCAGAGATTCTTTGAGCGCTCGAACACGCTTCTGTGAAACTTGTATGCTGGTTTGAATTTTGTGGAATGTGCCGATGGAGCTGTTAAAGCCCTGGTGATGCTCGTGCACGATTCCCTTCAATGAGTCCTGGAGGTAGCTGTGCGTCTGCTGGAACTTGTCATACTCGTGTGCCTTCCCAACAGAGCTGGTATCGAGAAGCTGTAGGGCAAGCTGCACGGGAGCAACATCACCCTCATACATCGACGGCCATTCTGTGTGGATATGCTCCAAGACCTGTGCAATCTGGCGCTCGGCGTTCGTTTCGGATCGCATGCGGGATCTTGAGGGTACGTTGTGTATAGTGTTCGAAGCGGGCGGGGATCTTAGGGGGGACTGGGCTGGCACCATAGGTCTCTGACCCCCATAGCCTTGCGAGTAGTCGTCGTCGTATTCCTGGCCCGGGACTGAGAGGCCCCCATAGCCATTGTTGTTTGGCGGCGGCATGCCACCATATCGAGCCATGTTGGAGTTGGAGCTTGGTCGGTGCCTCAAATGGTCGAGGGTGGTACTAACATCGTCGCCAAGTAGCTGAATGGCGAGATTCCCGGTCGCAAACGAGGAAGCTCTCGGGTTGGCGTATTTATTCAAGCTTCCCGTTACAGCCGCGACGAAGAAAACGAGTGACCTTGGTAGTTGGCGGTCAAATACATTCGGCTCCTTCTGCGATGCGATGTGGCTTACCTGGAGTACGTACTTCTCACAGGCGCACAGACCATGATGATCCCCGGCCATCGTCAAGCACTTAAATTTTAGCAGTGCAGATAGCTCCCGTTTCATCGTAACTACCCTATAGCGAATCACGGAGCACCTTCCTGCCCACTCAACTTCCACTTGAAATGCCTCCTCCTAGGTTAATATCCACTTCTCGGGGCATTTTTCTTCATATGTCGGCTTCTCCGGGTATGTTTTGAATATCATTAAATTCATTATATTTACTAGGCTGTAATTCCAATGCTATAACTGTGGACTAATAACACCCAGGCCATCTTTGCTGCCGTCTGATAAGATCGACATCCCACTTGCCAACAGAACCTTTTTTTAAACCTCAAAATACCCAGGGGTAATCATGCCGTGGGAACGGATTTCCCCTTGGCCTCTCCCTGGGGAGGTGTAGGGGATTTGTTGGCCGTACTAGAAACATCCGCCCCTGAGCTGCCTTGGGCCGTTGTCCCAGACACGCCCAACTCTCCTCCACTAACACCTGGGCGAGGCAGCTGGCCCCCAGGTTGAGAAGCTTTCAGCATCCTCCTATCCTGTGCCAGAATGACCTTTATCATGCTCCTCGTCCCATCCAGTATCACTTCAGGGCAATCCCAAGCTACCAACTCCGGCTTGGAGAAAACCCTGAAGGTCGAGACCACCTCGTATCTGGCACTTGCCCACCCAGGACATGCATAAGATCTTTCTGCCGGTTTCAAATGCCCTTGATCTACCACGGGAGGGGCTGCCCGCTCATTCATACCAACGAACACGGTGATGCCAACTCTTGGTTTCCGCGCCGAAGGCTTCTTCGCTTTTTCCTCATCCGCACCCGAGGATATGCAGTTTGCCCAGTATCTTAGAGTACCCTCCGGGCCAGGCAGCCAAATCAACTCCGCCAAAGTGATTATTGTCCTCGGAGAGAGCTCCTTGGTGGATCCCAGAAGCTTGAGCATCATGAGTACAAATATGAGCAACCCCACCGGCGAGTCGCAAAGGGCGTACGACAAGACGTTGGGGTCGCGGAACTTGTCGATGTCAAAGTCAATGGATTGGAGATTCGGGGATTTCCGTCCCGTTGACTTGGCCTTTTGGAACGCGGAGATGTCCTCGCTCGTGTACCCCAGCCTTGGCCGCCCCGTGATGCTCGACAGCTTCCATCTGATCCAGTTGATGAGCGCGTCCTGGGCTCGGGGAGGTTCTAGAGGTGGTGAGATGAGGTGAACCCCCAAGCAGCTGTCCGTGAAATTGTGGGCGAGGTTGTTGGCGAGCTTCCAGTCGATTTCGGAAGGCGAGTTCGACGTGACGCTGGTGTTGCTTGCGACGTACTGCTTATATCCGAGACGGCGCATTACCGTATCAAAAGCCTCCGCGGTTGCTGAAATCACCGGGGTGTTGCTGGGCAGAGCGTCGCTGAACCCAAGCCCCGGGAAAGAGGGGATCACGAGATGGAACGGCTGCTGCGTGCTGGCATCCTCTGGATCTGTGAAGGATGGGATGAGATGGGTCAGGGTGAGGTTGGCGAACGGGAACGGGGGGATCAGGAGGAGGGGCACAGCGTTCGAGTGCGGTGAGCGAACGTGGATGAAGTGAATCCTGACAGAGCTGCCGGAACCCGGCACGAGGACCTGGGTCCGGAACTGAGGCACGGCGGCGTTCAGCCGGTCCTCCTCATCGCGCCATGAGTATTCTTCCAGCCTGTTCGGAGGGCGTCAGTACGGGAGATCTCGTGCCCAATCTGCCTGCCGGGCTGCGAACTTGCACTGGACTCACCAGAAGTCAACGAGGGCCTCGATCTCTGGCTTTGGTTCCCACCAAACATTGGGGCTGGGCTCGGAGGACTCACGCGGCAGTCGCGTGAGCTCCAGCTTCTCCTCGGTCAATTTTAAATATTTACTTGACACCTGGGTACGTGGCAGGGCGGTCAGCATTGGGCTCTAGGTTACGAATCAAGGGAGTGAAAGGGACGGCCGTGTCGGTGCGTGTGTGTACGAACATGAAGCTGGTAAGGAACGACATCTTCGCCAAAGGGTGTAGTTGAGGCTGGATCAGGCGTGGCCATAGTTTGAGAACAGCTGGACGACTGTCAGCAGAGGAACAGTCGCTTTGCGGCAAGCCAAAGAAAAAAAAAAGCCAGGGCGAAGGCTCACGAGCAGCTAAAGTCTTGAGGCCGGCTCCCGCTGCCCTTTGTTTTGGAAGCTGGAGGGCACCAGGTCCAGGGTCCCCTTTAATAAGGCTCTAGATTCGATACGACGTCTTGCCCCGATTTGTCATGCAGCAGCCGGTGCTACTCCTACATGGAAGGCGACCTTGTTGGCATTTGCGTTGACCGAAATCAATTCGATTCAGCCCAGCGCGCGCGTCTCCGCAACCTCGTCATTCTTTTCCTGCAAGTGTGATCGCTATTACCCACACGGCACCCAGCTTTGCGCGCTAAGAGCTTGCTGTGGCGTCCATCCCTGCTCGTCCTTGTTTGGTGTTGGAGTCCGTCTGGAGAGAGCCCAGCAGGATGGTTTATCTCGACCACGGGCCCGGGCCAATCGCCAGCCAGCCAGGCCTGTTGTGGAGGGGAATCCATGGCCGGCTTTGCTGGTCACGCAACCAGCTCCCATTGACTCGTGCGTATTTTTTCCTGTTTGCGCAGATGCATACCACCAATACTATACCTGCTTCCAGCATGCGGACGAGGCGCGCCAAGCATGAGACAAGCGCAATGTTTCGGAAATGATTAGCAAGGATCTCGCGCCTCTTGCTGGCCGCCACACAATGCCGTCTGTTTTGTCTGGTCGTCGCCAAGCTGGGGCCTCTCCTCGTTGGGCAACAATCAATTCGACAGCCAGGAAAGCGCCTCTGGATAGCAGGGCGAATGCATGGATTGGGCACACGTGTGCCGCGCCATTGGGGACAGACATATTTGCCCTCCACCTACCTGATCTGGCAGCGTTGTCAATGATTGTCTTTCCTCTCTCTCTTCAGAGACGGAAGAAGCAGAGGATGCCAAAAAGAAACATTCGAGATTTGGCATCATTGTAACCAGTAAAGGCAGCCAATCACCTCATTGAGGAACTGCTACCCCAGAATTGGGAATCATCCCAACCCCAGGCTGCGGCTTTACCTCTTCTAGGCCGGGCTTGTGACTGTGATCCGGCCCAGTACATATGCCGACATCGAAAATGTGGTGTGATGCGTGGTAATTGTCTCACGTGCAAAGCTCCCTGCACGCCTGGCAGGTACTACAACAGATCAAAAGCTGTAGAGTCACACAATCACTGGGCATGGATGTCAGCACGATCGTGTTGAGATGGATTGTTAACATTGATTTCTCCATATTCCCTCCGTTGGGATACAAATTTGCGCCACCTTGCATTATAGGACCATATTGTCTCTGTTCCTGTTCCCTAAGCTTCCCTACATGACGTATTTCATTGCGTGTTATTATTGGTAGTTGTTGGGCTGCTTGCTCCCGCATTTGGTTGTCCTCCGCGCAGATTAATCTGCCCCATACGTGAAACAATATTGTTACCGACCGCATCAATTGCGCCTCTCGGTGAGGTGAATGTTGGTCCTGTGGGCGTCGTCTCTTGGACGCGGAAGAGTTTGATCGCAGTGCCGGTCCATATGCCCATATTCCCCCTCGAAATTTGCATCTCACTCGAAAACACCACTCCCCAAAGAAGAGATTCATACCATCCAAGAGCGAGTGGAGACCATTCGAAAGAGTGCACTCGAATTGGCGATGGGTCTACTCCCACTATTTCGGTCTCTTTGATTAGGCGGAATGTCTCCTGAGAGACCACTTCTTGCGATAGGGCCTGGCGGGGTAGGACTGGCGATAGTTGTTGGATGATCGTCAGAATGGTGTGAAGTGGAAGTTCCGGTAACCAGGTCTCAATCCACTGTGCCGACGGCTCGAAAGCACCGGTTTGAGACTGCCCACTGATCGAATATGTTCCCAAACTGGTAGAGCTGTTCTGACGTGAAATCTTAATGCCGGCTGGCATCTTTCCACGCGCCTTTTCTGACATCCCTCTGACCTGAGTCGGTACTGCGTCCTCGGTGGCGGCTACCGACGAGGCTTGAGAAGCATTCTCACTTGTCGTCGACTGCACAGGGGTTGGTTGATAGTCTTCATCATCGCTGTTCTCCTCCTCCTCGTCATCGTCATCGTCGTCATCATCATCTTCATCATCATCGCCGATAGCGAACGCTCCGTCTTCTGGTACATTTTCTAGTGTCGGCGTTCGTGCTGGAGCGATAGATGGGCTCCGAACACTGTCAGTGGAACTTCTCAACGAGGTAGATTCAAATGGATCCGTTTGGCCGCCTGATTCTTTCTTCAGCCGTTGACGACGTTCCATTTCTTCTTTCCCAGTCTCTAGTGTGAATGACCGCAGTGCTTCGATGCGCTTCTTGTTTTTCAAAAGGGCAATTATGAGCGCCGGATTTGCTTGATACTTGTTCTCAATGATAGCATTGATGGATTCAAGAAGTGAGTGCAACAGCGTATGATTGGTTTCGTTGACGAGAAGAAAGCTCGGCGATGACATGGATGTAAATAGTTGTAGAAGACGTGAGCTGCTGGAGGCACTCAACATCTCGATATGTGGCGCGATGTTATTGATGATGGCTAGGAGTGCCGGATAGATAGCTGATAATTTCCCCTGGCTAGTGGTAATAAGTGAGAAGATGGATTGAATAAGAAAGTCGGCATAGGTGCCTCGGAATCCATTGATTCGGATCGACGCGGGTAGACTGGCCTGCCCCTCGAAGGCCTTATTCAGATTTGCACCGAATGCAGTCTCAACGCTGAGTGTCTGGAGGAGAAAGACGCACATCCGGACAACGCCATGCTTTGCTGTGTCATTTTTGTTTTCCAAAGCATAGAACAATGCCAGAATAATAAGATCGTGAGCACAACCTGTATCAATGATGAAGGAGCGAAACCTCTTGTTGCACTGCGTAATCTCCCAAAAAAGCATGATGATCTCAGGCGCAAAGTCACCAGAATTCTGGGCTCCTGGTAGATAGGACGATTTCTCCTGTAGTGGCTGGTTGAGGATTCTCGTCATCCCATCCACAATAAATTGGAAATCCTGCGGCCGATGCACGCGGCCAAGATAGTGCCGGTAGTAGTTCTTGGAGGGGGCTGAAGACCCATTTTCGGGGATGGGATAAAGTAGTAGAGCAAGGAGCAAGTGTAGCGAATGTGTCACGAGCATTTGTTTTGTGTCTTTGAACACGAGAGAATTGTAAGGTACTCGCCATGTTGCTGGATTGTACTTGAGCGTTGTGTTCAGGAGCGAACAGAGGCCTGACAAAACGATCTGCTTATCAGAACAAGAGCACATGTAGGTCAGGGCCCGGACGCCTCTCCCAGGTAGGACGGTTGAGGTCATATACATGCTCTGACCAGCTAAAGTCAGAAGGAGTCTCAAGATTTCACTTCGGTTACTTTCGTATTCTTTGGTTGTTGCGACAGTCGAGTTGCATCCTACACCACTTTGCCAGATTGCATATGTAACTTTGGATTTTCCGCCTTGTGCCAAAGGCAAAGTAAATCCAGAGAAGAATAGAAGATCGATCAGTATATCGATGAGCTCCTCGGCCAAAGGGTTCGCATCCTCAAATGTTTCAGTCTTGGTGGCGCTTGGCTCCGTTTTATCCTGTTGGGCCTCGTCGAATAGGACCTCGTTCGCTATGACAGCTTTGCGGGTCTTCATTCTTCGTCTACCCCAGAAAAACCTTTCCTCCCAGCTGGCGAGGGATTCCTTCTCGTACAAATATGGGAGGATACGAGTGAGAACGCGAATGCAGTTCAGAGCATCCTTTTCCGGAGCAAGCTCTGGGTCGGGGAAGGAGGGGTGATGCCTAAGATATACTAGTCTGGATATTGATGCTAGGATCAATGTCTCTAGATTTTCGAGTGCCTTGTCGCGAGTTCGTCGGATATCGGCGGGGGAGAAAAGGCTGAAGACATCCTCGGAGGATTCAGGCAACTGCCAGAACTGTTCAAAGGAGTTAGTTGACGAGTTTCTAGCGAGGAAGATATCGCAAACTACGAACCGAAGTCCAGTATTCATCATCAGCTGGGATATGGCGCTCCTCAGAAAGCCTGAAGATGCCCTGCTTGAAGACAAGTTTCGAATCGCTTGCACCCATGATGCCGAATGCTGATTACGGGACAGCTGTGTGACGAGATTCTGGTACCGGATAATGGCGATTAAAGCACGAAAAGAGAGTTAGACATGACGTTCCTCAACGAAACGAAGCTCTTGGAAGCTCAGAGTCTGGACGAGATGGAGGAGATGTCGCTTGGTGGCTATCGCAGGTCGGAGTGCCAGGGTGTTGTATACGAAGCGGGTATTACTGTGCACACTCAGCATCTCCTCCTGTCGCTGCTTAATAGGTGGGGAACCTAAGGCAGGCTGGCTAACTTTCCTACGTAAGTCCCCGGGGCCGAGCTGTCGCTCCTTCCATCTGCTAATAGCCCTGGGCCTTGGGAGGTGACACTAGGCCCTCGCTCTAGACCACAAGCCCCACTCCATCCTTATCGATAAGTGGCAAAAGTCGTTGGCGCAAGGTCCAAGACTTTTTTGAGGGTAACACCATGGTATGTGATATTGGCGGGGAGTATCATTGTCTTTGTATGAGCTCGTCGCAAGCTTGGTGATAGCTCACAGACTACGACCATGATTCGCTCAAGGAGAGGGGTTAACTTGGCTGTTCAAAAGGCTGGGTTGACCCGCACTCTTCGCTCCCCGGCATGCGCTCGCCAGGGTTTGTGCTCGACGACCCATTTACGATATGCATCGCGACGTAGTTCGGAGAAAGGGAGACCTGTCGATGGTTCCTCTAGCTACGAGGAAGACTCTCGCAAGGAGTTGGATACTGCACGTATTCATGGATTTATGGAGGCCTTCCGAAGGTCCAAGGGCATTCACAAGAGCGAGGATAACAAGGCGGCACCGTCAAGGGGGGCATTCGGTGCGCTGAGCGGCTGGACTACTCTCGAGGAGCGGCTGGGAACGAGATCTGACAGACGCTACTCCAGAGAGCGAGAGGACATAGACGAACTCAATGACAACTTGGTCGACAGGCAATCGAGCCAAGCCCCGGCATCCAACGAACTCGATCCGGCACATGACGACTTCGATCCAGTATATAATCGTATAAGTGGTATCGATTCAGCACCGACGTATGGCTACATGGACGAGACCCTCGCCGAGAAGCTGCCCGAAACGCCAGAGGCCTCAGCGCGTCCTACACATGCACCTAAGAAAGACAAGCAGAAACCGCCAAAGCAGAAAGCAAAGAGGCGTTCCAAGAAGTATTCGGAGCTTGACGTCAAACGTCTCAGACCAAAAGCGCTTGAGCTCACACCGATTAAAGAAGAAGAAGAAGACATTGAGGTGCCACACCTGTCGTATGGCCTCGATAAAGTTCTCTTCAATAGCGGCGTTTATCAGATACAAGATCAGCGGTCGAAAGTGTATAATTTCGACCCCTACCTCACCTCAATTATGCCGATTGATCAGTTCGATTTTGACGCTCTTAAAGCCTACATCACTTCATCCAAAGATTCGAAGCTGCGGGCCATCAGCGCCAAGCACGGAAAGAAGTATTGTGGTTCTACCTCTAGCATGACAGCTCTATTGTCCCACTTCCATTTTCTCATCTCCCAATGGCGTGAGCCAAACTTTGGTCATTTGTCCAAGGAGCTCAAGATCGAGTCGCGCAATTTCACAGCCCTAAGTCGTACGCCGGCTGCAGCGTACGCCAGACTCAAGGACGGCGTTTATGCGATTGATGCCGATAAGGAATATGACAGGGAAAATGTTCTCAGTATGTTGGGTAAGTCGATGGAAAAGCTTCTCACACTTCCCAAAGAAGAATACGAGAAATATCGAGTCAGTCGTTCGCATCTCCTTACAGAGGAGGAACGGAATGCCGACGAAGCCTATCATTACACCACGTTGGGTGACTTCATGATGCGTTCCCAGCTCGATGCTTATGATCCTCGCCTGCCTGGCACTGGCGTTTTTGACCTCAAGACTAGGGCTGTTCTTACGATTCGAATGGATGTCCATGATTATGAGAAGCGAAGGGGCTATGAACTCACCCAGCGATTTGGCCAATTTGCCTCATTTGAGAGAGAATACCATGATATGATCCGAGCAGCGTTTCTAAAGTACTCTCTTCAGGTTCGAATGGGTAGAATGGATGGTATTTTTGTTGCATTCCACAACACCCAACGTATCTTTGGCTTCCAGTATATTCCTCTGGAGGAAATGGATGAATCTCTCCACGGTACTGAACGCCGGGAGCTTGGAGACCAGGAATTCAAGGTTAGCTTGAAGATCCTAAACGACTTGCTTGACCGTGCCTCCAAGAAGTTTCCTGGCCGCAGCTTGCGTCTTGTCGCCGAAGCTCGTCAAGCCAAAGTTCCCTTTATGTACTTCTTTGCTGAGCCAGTCTCGGATGAGGAAATGAAGGAGTCCGACGAGGCTTCGACGGAGTCGACGATGAAACTTGCGGAAGAAATCATTGACCAAAGTCAGAGAGACCGTGAAGCATTGGAGTTGACTGAGAAGGAGCTGGAGCAGGGGCAAGAGCAGGAGCAAGAACATGAAGCGGAATCGACGGTTGAAGATTCCGAGAAACCTATTGATGAAGGGGTTGTAAAAGTGGATGATGCTTGGCGGGCTCTGATGGGAAAGGTGGAAGAAACCATCGAGAACGAGTCACTTGGAAAGGACTTCATCAAAGAATCACTGCACGATGCCCTCGAGGAAGTCGATTTTCTCAGTGACAGCACTGCAAAGGAGTATGAGCAGGATCTGGATGCACTGGTGGAGTCTTTGGCCGATGCATTCATTGTGCCGAGAGAAACCCGGGAGGCATCGGAAACGAACGTGGTTGATGAAGACTCAAACTCGAACAACGGATCGCCGAGTGTTGAGACAGACCTCAAGCATGATAGCCCTCCTTCGGAGCCAATCGTCGAGGTAGCGTCTGAGGATGATGCACCCGCCACACCCATTTCAAAAGGGGAGGTATCTGCACAAGCTGAAGCGGGATCGTCGCCTGTCGGCGAAACATCCAAATCTGATACCTTGAGGAACTTGATCATCCAAGTCACAAAAGGTATCGAGGATAAAAAAGTTGAGGAACTGGGTAAATTCGAGCGTATGCTAGCGGAGTTCGCTGCGAAGACAAAACAGGCTACCACCAAGCCTGATGATAACGCGATGGATGAAAAAGAGTCGTCCACTCAACCCCCCGCGGATGCTGTGCCAAGCAGTGTTGACGAGGCAGAGGGCAATGAGGCTCCTCAGCCAGTAGAAGAGGAAACTCAGCCTTCGGATGAGCTCGAGTTTAATTATACGCCCCCGAAAGACGTTCTTGGGATGTATGTTACCGTTCGCAACTATCAAAATCGCCGACCGGTAGATCGCCCTGAGATTGGCAACGAGAAGAGATTTTCCTGGGTTGTCGAATATAGTATTCAGGAACTTGAGGATTCAGAGGCAAAAAGGATTTATGCCCAAAGCAGAAAACGCCGCTTCGTCCAGTTCGACAACATCAGGAAGAAGAAGGATTCAACTTACCAGCAGCATTTTCAGTCAATAATGCTTCGACTGTCAAAACAGGGTGCTAAATTCCGCCAGGCTTTTGAAAACGAACAAAAGGGCAAAGACCTTCTCGTTGCTTGGGATAAGAAGCCGATTCCCAATGAAGAGGAGGAAATCCCTGGGACCAAAAAGGCGTAGGTGGACGGAATAGATGACGCAGCCTTGGTTGGGCGCATTTGTATACTACTGTATAGTCCTGTAACATTACTACAGCATTGAAGCCATCTAGCGAAGGCACAATAATACCACCCTCACTTGAGTTTCAAGAGCTCATACCGAGCAACGCACGGTGATGCTAGGTAAAATGGCACGCATACTGAGGCATCTACTGGCAAGTGCACTGTAGACGCATGGATCATGTGGCATTTTCTCCGATACGAGATGAAAATGATGCTATCAAGCTTCACAAGGCTCCATGTGTTCACATAGGTAATGAGGGATACGAAATAAGGATGAGCTACGCCGTTCTGGAAATCCGTCCCGATATGCGCCAACAGCGGCCGCACTACTAAGCTATCGGCCCCTAAAGGCTGAGAGTGAGAGGCACCCGTTGACACTTGTAGGGAGCACAGCTAACGGCCTTGGTAGAGTGGCAGCCGCGCATGAACTGGCAGCATGTTGATTTCATGCTGGGCACTGACTTCTCCCTCCGCCAACCTCGCCTCACATCAACATCACCGCGCGCGTCCCGAAAACCCAAACAGGGACGTACGATGGGATAACTAGAGTTCGCATAGCCATTCCCTTGCTTTTTCCTCGCTGCGAGTCGAGTGCATGTACCTCGGAATCAGGCCGGCACTCAAGGCGCGGCCTTCGTTGCTGGATCTCATCCGCGGGGGCGGCGACAGCGGTGGTCTCAGCGGGCTCAGCGGCGAAGGCAGCAGTATTGCGGCAGGGTCAGCAGGCTCCAGCACCGCCACCGTAGCGACTCGGCCACCTGCAGCTGGAGGCCTGGACGCCATACCAGCGGCAGCTACATCATCGCCTCCACCTCCACTTGCTGCGCCAAGACAGGTCCCCGGTTGGCTCGACACTGCAGCTCTCCAGGTAGCTTCGACTCTACCTTTGCCAACCTCTCCACCGACATCACCGATCCTCTCAACGCCGCCTCCCTATCCTCCTTCACGGCCAGCCTCGCCGTCTTCCTCAGAGAGCGCTGATCTATCCGCACAAGAGCCTGCGCCTGCCCCAGCTCCTGTCCACGCCCTGCCCACCATGGCTCCCAAGGTGCGTTGTTGTCTGCATCGCCGACCGGTTGCACCTTTCGTCGCTCGGCCCCGCTGACATGCATCATCTCTAGAACTCGGCCGCCAGTGATGGCGATGAATCTCATCAAGGTACCTATCTCCTTGTCGCCTCAATTTCACCGCGCGATGATTACTGACAGCTTCCCCAGGCAAGATTTTCTCCGTCTCCGGGTCCGTCAATCCCCCCGAAACTGGCCGCAACAGCTGCCAAGAGCGAATCGATGTTAACTCGTTTGCAGCCCCGTCGTTGTCGCCGAAGATATGATTGGTGTTGCCATGTACGAGTTGGTGCGTTGAAAACCCGTGCCGGATGATGGCAGCACTGTCGTAGGAATTCCCGCTTACGCTCTTGATTAGGTCAAAGTAGGACATGAGAACCTCGTTGGTGAAGTCATTCGTATCAATGGCGACCAGGCATCTATCCAGGTCTACGAAGAGACTGGTATGGCACATCAGAATGGTCCTGAGAGCCCCAAGATCAATTGCTAACCTCCACTCCAGCCGGCGTCTCAGTCGGTGATCCCGTCATTCGGACTGGCAAGCCCCTGTCCGTCGAGCTGGGACCCGGTCTGCTCAACGGTATCTACGACGGAATTCAGAGACCTCTCCAGGACATTTCCAACATCTCAGAATCGATCTATATTCCTCGCGGTATCGCCGTTCCTGCTCTGGACCGCAAGAAGAAGTGGGAATTCACCCCCTCGCTGAAGGTTGGCGACCACATTTCCGGAGGTGATGTTTGGGGTACCGTATTCGAGAACTCCTTCATCTCTACCCACCGAATTCTCTTACCTCCTCGAGCTCGCGGTGTCATCACCAAGATCGCATCCAAGGGCGAGTACACTGTCGCCGAGAACCTGCTGGAGGTCGAGTTCGACGGCAAGAAGACCGAGTACCCTATGATGCAGAGCTGGCCCGTCCGTGTGCCCCGTCCCAGTTCCGAGAAGCTCAACGCCTCCGAACCCTTCATTGTCGGTCAGCGTGTCCTCGACGCTCTTTTCCCTGGTGTTCTGGGTGGTACCGTCGCTATCCCTGGTGCTTTCGGTTGTGGAAAGACCGTCATTAGCCAGTCTGTCTCCAAGTTCTCCAACAGTGATGTCATTGTCTACGTCGGGTGAGTTTTCTAACTGAGAATATGACTTGCCTCATGGTGACTGACCTTTCAAAGATGCGGCGAGCGTGGAAACGAAATGGCCGAAGTGTTGAAGGATTTCCCCGAGCTTACTATCGATGTTGACGGCCGAAAGGAACCCATCATGAAGCGAACCACCCTCATTGCCAACACTTCCAACATGCCTGTGGCTGCACGAGAAGCTTCCATTTACACGGGTATCACTGTAGCCGAGTACTTCCGTGACCAGGGCCTGAATGTTGCCATGATGGCTGACTCCTCTTCCCGATGGGCTGAGGCTCTCCGAGAACTGTCTGGTCGTCTGGGAGAAATGCCTGCTGATCAAGGTTTCCCCGCCTACCTGGGAGCCAAGCTCGCCTCCTTCTACGAGCGAGCCGGCCGAGTCCAGACCCTTGGTTCCCCCGAGCGCGTTGGTAGTGTGAGCATTGTCGGTGCTGTCAGTCCCCCTGGTGGTGATTTCTCCGATCCTGTTACTACTTCCACCCTTGGTATCGTGCAAGTGTTCTGGGGTCTCGACAAGAAGCTTGCCCAGCGTAAGCACTTCCCTTCCATCAACACAAGCGTCTCGTACAGCAAATACACCACTGTTTTGGATAAATTCTACGAGAAGGAGAACCCCGAATTCCCCCGGCTGCGCGACCGTATCAAGCAACTTCTCTCAGACTCTGAAGAGCTTGACCAAGTCGTGCAGCTGGTCGGTAAGAGTGCACTGTCCGATCCCGACAAGATCACTCTCGACATTGCTGCGCTTGTCAAGGAAGATTTCTTGCAGCAGAACGGTTACTCCGACTATGATCAGTTCTGCCCCATCTGGAAGACGGAGTGGATGATGAAGCTCATGGTTGGATACCACGACGAAGCCCAGAAGACCATTGCCCAGGGCCAGACCTGGAGCAAGGTTCGCGAGGCCACAAGCGATATCATGTCTTCTCTGCGAACACTAAAGTTCGAGGTGCCCACCGAGGGCGAGGAGGCCATCACCAAGAAGGTAGGTACAATCCACATATCCACAATGACTGGTCACTAATTGTTTAAATCACAGTACGAATCTATTCAACAGAATATGTTAGACAAGTTTGCTTCAGTCTTGGACGAGTAAAGGATCCTTTTCGGGGAGGAATACAATAACGGAGGGTGGAGGCTGTCTGTTGCCTTGTAAGCAGAAACCGTTTCATAGAGGTTCAAAGGAGCTTGGAAGAACGCACTTGTGTTTGGCTTTTTTTCGTTGAGCATGTCAAATCAGTAACAATCCTACTGTTTACGCCGCTTTTCCCTTTACAAGTTCAGACCTGCGTGCAATGTGGTGTGCTGCCTAGAATAAGCCGCAAGTCGACATATCCGTCCCGGAGCTTGTGAAGTTACATTTTGATACTGACAGTGTGCTGACCCACCCTAACGATCCGTCTTGGCACTGTGCTGCAATCAATGGCCTCACTGCTCTACGAAGCAGGCTCTTGATAGATGGCATGATTCGCCATCGTGCCCAGGCATTCTCCCGTCTTTATTCTTAATTTCTTCTTGTTTCTCGCGTCCTAGCCTGGAAGCCACACAATGTCAGAAGAGCTCCAGGATGAGGTAGAGGCCATCAACTCCATCTACGGCGAGGGGACGCTCTCCCCCGCCTCGGAGGACTCGACGTCCGAGTACGTCCTCAACCTGCCCGGGGGCGCGTCGTCGCTGCGGCTGCGGTTCCCGCCCTCCTACCCGGAGGAGGCGCCGCCCGAGGTGCTGGGCACGCACCACAGCTCCGGGGGCAGGAAGGGCGCCGGGGCCAGGGACCTCGCGCTGTTCGTGGATGCGCTGGGGATTGCGTTCCAACCCGGGGTCGTGTGCCTTTTTGACTCTGTCGAGGAGTTCTCGCGGCGGTATGAGGAGGAGGTTGTGGCCGCTGTTGAGGAGGGGGGGGAGGTAGGAGGAGGAGAATCAGAGGATGACGGGGGCGAGCCGGAGCTGGACCTGGCGTCGCTGCCCACCCCGCCGTGGACGCTGTCGGAGCCCATCGTGGACAGCAGGTCGACGTTCCTGGCGCACGTGGCGCCCGTGAGGTCCCCCGAGCAGGCGAGGCTGTACGTCGCGCAGCTGCTGGCGTCGGACAGGAGGATCCGGTCGGCGACGCACAACATGACGGCGTGGCGGATCCGCGGGGAGGGGGGCGCGAGCTACCAGGACTGCGACGACGACGGGGAGACGGCGGCGGGGGGACGGCTGCTACATCTCATGCAGCTGATGGAGCTGTGGGATGCCATGGTGGTGGTTACGAGGTGGTATGGAGGGGTGAAGCTGGGGCCGAGGCGGTTTGCGGTCATCAACGCTGCCGCGCGGGATGGGTTTGTGAGGGCGGGGATGGTGGTCGAGAAGGAGAAGGATAAGAAAAAAGGGAAATGAGTTATAATTTTATGAAGTTTCCCCTTGTGAGACGTGAATGAGTAAGGGCTATCTCTATGACTTAAGAGCTGCAATGGGTAAGACCAAGACGACGAGACTATTTACACTGGCAAAGGCGATGTGAAGAGAAAACACTTGCTTTTAATTCCATATCATCATGTAGGTATCCCGAATCCCAGGGACACGGCCTACGTAAGGTATCTCGAAACACCCAGGATGTACGTTACCCAACAACTCTGAAAACAATGATGCCACCCGAAAAGCCAGCCCAAAACCAACACAACTGATAGAATGGACAGAAAACTCCTCGCAATATGATTAAAGGTCAAGTGGCCGCCCAGGGTAGTTAGAAACCAGAACAAATCCTTCTTGATTCCTTTTTCCTTTTTCCTCTTTTTTTTTTTGCAACTACCTCATATGATTCAGTCCTTGGCGAGAAGAGGTCTCAGAATATCCAAGGCCCGTGGGGAATGCTCCTCTGGGAGGATGACTGCCCCGGCTCTGGCAGTGGACAGGTACGATAGCTCCGAACTCGCTGTCATTTGCATGTCCTGCACCAGCTTACCCGCCACGCCGCAGATTATGCCCGTGACCTCGGACGAGAGATTCAGCAGATCGAGAAAGATGGCGATCTGCGTGCCTTCCTTGTCGCCGATGAGTGACTCGCCGAACATGTCGAGCAGAGCCTTATCTAGGAGCAGCGACGGAGGGTCGTCGTGGGTGAGAGTAATGGACAGGAACCTCGGCTTCGCGGCGAGCGCGGCAACGATGCATGTGTAGAGCTTGGCGTCGATGGTGTCTACCCACGTACGGCCCCCTGTGTGACGACTCCTCGAAGGTCGGTGGTCGTAGACCTCGTCGGTGATGGGCGAGATCTCACGGCCCGAGCACTGCACAAGCTCCAGGCCGTCTACTACGGTGGGCGCGACCTTCCTCTTGCTAAGGAGGTCAAAGGCCCGGGACTGGAGCTCCGTGATGCTGGCGGGAGGCGGCGTCCTGGGCGGCGAGCCGCTCCCGCTGGACGTCCTCGAGCGGCTGTAGGTGGACGAGTTGACGTACGAGGTCTGGTTGTGGGAGAGCTCGAACCCCTTGGAGAGCAGCGCCTTGACCACGTTCTCCCTCTCCTTGACCGGGACGAGGATGAAGTCGGAGTAGTACGTCGAGATGTAGAAGATGGAGATGCCAGCCAGCGCGAGGGGGGACGTCAGGTCCATGACGCGGTTGGCTGCATCCAAGCCTGCGCTGATGACGGCGAGGATCACATACTCGGTTTGAGGTATGTCGACTGTACCAGCCAGTTTAGGCGGCAGGTTCCTGATGATGGGCTCAAAGACATTCTTGGCCCAGGAGCTGTGGCAGACTATCGAGACCTCGATGGGTGTGACACTGATGTTGAGGAAGTTGTGCTGGCCATCGGAGGTCAGCCCCTCGAGCTCATGTCCAAGGCCATTCTCTGAGCCGCGCGGGACGTGCTTGCTCTGCGGCAGGAGGAGGACCTGGAGGATGGGCTGGACAAAGGACGAGTAGAGGGCCAGGGGGATGTGTATCAGGCTGTACTCGCCCTCCTGAGCATCTCAGCAAGTCAGCAAAGCGGTTGCGACTCTGGCAGCGGCAGCCCCCAAAAGGCCCAAAGGGGAATCCCGGGGGCAACAGCTACAGGAAACCAAAAGCACGGGATGCACATCAAGTTCCTGATCCAAAGTCGTGTAATTCATGTGACAAAGAAAACGGACCCAGATGATGGGCGATAAGAAAGGACCGAGAACCGGGTCTTATCACTCGGTTTCGTGGGACGTGATTGGACGGCGAGGGGCTAACTCACCAGGAAGGATATCTGGGCGTTCATGGCTGGATTCTGGGTAGGGTTCCTGGAGTAGATCGGCTGGATGGAATGGGATAAGTAAAGATGAAGGAAATATGAGATGGATGGTGCTACCCTGAGAGAAGAGCAATTGGGGTTTGGGATTGAACTCAGATTCGGCGGTTGTCTGGTAAGGTTTTATCAAGTAGAGTCCCTTCTCGTGACCAGGCCAAACAACCTAAACAGTCCCAGACCAATGTGCAACCCCAGGCGCCAGCCAGAGCATCTTCCTCCAGGGCAACGAACAGTCTGGGGAGGAGGAAGGAGAGAGGGAGGAAGCCGGGAAGGAGACGAGAGAGCCGCCCGACTGGTTATAGATGGCCAGCACAAGACGGCAAGCCGCCGCAGGAGGGGCTCAGATGGGTTAAGATGGCCCGGGACTGGTGGGCCTCAGACGTAGATTTATCTAGGAATTATTCCACTTGCAGATGAGGTGGCGGATGGCCCAAAGGGGGACCAAGCAGGCCAGCATGCTTGGTTAGAGGCACCTCCAGGCAGTGTATGATAAGTGCAAGATGCATCAACCAGGGGTGGCCCCCAAGCAGGCCCAAGGCCCAAGGCGGATTACCATGCCCGGCATCCCAGTAGACTCGCTCAACTGGATTGAAGATGACGGAGGAGGCAAAGGCGCGTTTGCCTACCTGCGTTAACGGCACATTGGGCTGCAGGCGAAAGACCGGCTGCTCCCTCTGCACGTTATCACCCACGCAAGGCCTAGGCCCAGGAGGGTTTGGCGCCTCTTTTTCCCTATCAAATATGGGCTTCTCTTCTTCCCCTAGGCCTCTCCACCGTTTCTGGAGGGTCCTTGAGGCGGTTCGCGAGGGAACAGGGTGCCTTCGAACCATCGGGGAGTGGGGAAGAAGACTGGCCGAGTGTGGAGTTGGAGGTCAGCGCACACACACCACTCGCGACGGCAACTTGCTTCTTTCGAGCCGCTTGCAGAGATGTGCAAAGATGCAGGGCGCAAGAAGACTCCTAAGTGGCTGCAAGGGTGGTGGTGTGCATGTAGGTACAGCGCCGGTCGCTTCGGGAGGCAGCTGAAAATGCGGAGAGCCCAACCACACCTCCCGAACGAGTATCCAGCCCTGGCCCAGAGCTGGGTGGTGGCTCAGGGCGTGAAACGGTAGTCTTTCGCTTCTGCTCGTGTCTATTTTGCTAGTTCACTTTGCTTTTGTCGTATCGAGGCTGTAGCTCATGCGTCCATGGCCCAGCACAAGTATCCTATCTTACGAGCTCAGCAAACCATGCTTGATGGGACACTGCCGATGACAAGACCCCGAGCTTCTGGTGCAAATCAGATACCCTGGCCCGCATCGAGACATGCCTTGCATATCCTTGTCAATCGGCCATTGTTCCTGCGCTTTCCTTGTTTTCTGGGGCACCAAGTCGCCCTGCCTGCATCAGCAACCAACCATACTCTTTCTGAAGGCAGACCTATTCGGCACGGGCGATGCACCCGTCATTGAAGTCATATCACTGAGTACCAATGGTTGCCTGTCCCGGTGGCCAAAGTGAGATTCTACCATTGGACACCCCATAATTAAAAACATCGAGTGATCATCTGACAATGGATTTTTCAACTGTCATCTCGATTGTGACATGCTCGTCTCGATGCCCAAGCCCCTTTCTCCAAGTTCCTAATCTTGTATTTTTCCCGTCTCTTGGATTTCTTGACTAATATGGCTCGGTTATCTTCGTCCCATTGTGGACACCATCAAATCCCCGTAATCACTCAGGTATCCATCGTTCAACTCTTCCCAGACCACAATCAACATTTGTCTTTGTCTTCATTATTGGTAATACTGCAATATCATGCGAGCATGAGGCAAGAAGAAAAGTCTATTCGTAGGCATAAACCCTTTCATTAGCCCTCTGATTACCATGTAAGTGGAACCCGAGCAATGAGATATTGTCTCAACCGTTTCATGATCCTGCTCAGCATTAACTCATTCACTCCCCCATAATGTCATCTGAGATGCTTTGCTTGTTGTCTAGACTCTGCAGGCGTCAGGGCCGCTAAACTCAATTACTCTAGCCCAACGCCTCAATCACACCACTTTGACGGTCGCTTCGTCAATGAACGTTTATGGGTCCTAGCACATATAGCCGGAATCACAAGCTAGAATTGCCTAACAGAGTATAGAGATATGTCTCTATGTACAAATGACTCTAAATAGTAACAAGAATTGAATATCATCTTGGCGGATAGAGGCGTGGGTAACATCAACACTGTGGCGGAAGACTCGGATAGAACCATGTACACACTCGAAGAGGATTATGCAACTTCAGCTCTAACTAACGTACCTCCCAAGTTGATCAGTCACAAACCGGGACCCCTTCCGAACCAATATTGGCAAAGTGTTTCAAGACAAGACTTCAGGTCGATATATTCGTTGCTAATCATTCGAGAAGTGTAAACTCAAAACGGGGCCTGTATCGAATAGCTTGCCGTTTTCGGTGGTTATGCAAGCTTTAAAAATGATATGTCTTCTATCACTTTATCACTGTTGCATTTCTAGAAACAAAACATTGAATGTACAAGCGTTGTTTGTCTCAACTCTGGCTGCCTCCAACCCACACACACTCAGCTATGCTCATGCATGGGAAACGCATGCAGGGAGCCGAAAACTTACATAAAAAGATCATTGCCTCATTCGTACCTGACTGGCAGCTAACCGATGTACACGCATGTAGGAACAGTACCAACCCGTTACAGCGCAGAACAGCATCCGAGGTGGATAGAGGCCGGCAGCAAGCAGCCTTCATCGATGGGATGGATGGAAGGATGCGATCGTTGGTCAGGTGTTTGAATTCGTCACTCCTCGAGCATTAGCCAATGCCTGACCCCCACGACAGCCGAGAGTCCAAAAGAGTTGC